AGCGATGAGGTCTCCCCTCAGCCTCCTTTTCTCCAGGCTAAACAACCCCAGTTCCCTCAGCCGCTCCTCATCAGACTTGTTCTCCAGACCCCTCACCAGCCTCGTTGCCCTTCTCTGGACACGCTCCAGCCCCTCGACGTCCTTCTTGTAGTGAGGGGCCCAAAACTGAACACGGTAATGTTCATGAGAGATGCAACGGGGTGGGAAGAGGGTAGGAAAACTCAGTCTGCTGCTCCTGGTGGGAGCAGTGGAGCTGCAAAGAGCTCAGCCCCAGCTCTACTCACCACTCCCCACAGCCCCCGCTCCCCTGCATCACACTGCAGCCCAGTGATGGGGGCGAAGGGCTTTGTATGCCAACCCCATGGCTCACCCAGAATGATGGGGAATGTGGCAAAGGCGGCACAGCGGAGCGTGTAGACCAGGCGGGTGCTGACGGTGGGCAGCAGCGGGGCGTCAAAAGGCAGGAAGACATAGGCCCCGTAGACGAGGCAGGGGCAGAGGAGCAGGGCCCCCACCACCGAGGCCACGGCCTTGAGGTTGCCGGTGCTGCAGTCCCTGGCACATGGGCACTGTGGCCCCTCGGTCGGTGGCTTGGCCACTCGCCCCTCAAAGCCCAGTGGGTCCCTGTAGTGCGAGGGGCCGATGGGAAGGAAGACCTGCTTCTGGCGGAGGCTGTCGGGTCTGTCGCTGTGGGGGACATAGTCCCCCTTGCCGCCCTCCTCCCGGGGCCATGGGGCGGGTTGCTGCTTCTGCTTGCCGGGTGTCCGCTCAATGCACTGTGGGTCGATGGGCACAAAGACGTGGGCCGCCATCACGGGCAGCCCGGGGGCTTCCTCGTCTTTGGCCTCAGCTGGGGGGTAGGTGAGAGCAGCCTCCTCCAGATCTTCATGGCCCCCTTCAGGACTTGAGCGCCTCTTCGTCTCCGTGGGCTCTGACTGGCCCTGGGCACTGTGCTGGCACCGGTCCCATGGCAGGGTGGCATCAGGGTCCCCTGGGTGTTCATCCGGGGCTGGTGGTACCTTGTCCAGCGGGGCAGCCAGGGCCACCTTCCCCAGCTCCAGCAAAGCCACCTCCTCAGGGGGCAGGATGGGGTCAGCAGCAGCCATGAGAGTGGCCGGCTCAGTACAGCTG